GGTGTTGTCGCCTCACGTCGGCAGCGTCGGACCAAAAAGCTGCGCTTGAACACACCGCACAGACTACAGCCGACGGCAAACTAACACGTGCGTTCTGCGCATGCGTGAGAGGAATTAACTGTCTATATCAGCAGCTATCAATACTATATATTCGTCATTCAAGGAGAAACCGAAACAAAGATATACGAGATAAACGCAGATATACGAAACGTAAACAAAGCAGCGCTTGCTTACCATTTTGAATATCAGTGACGTTGATAACTTTAATCATTTTAAGCGGCTCATGTTGTTATGAAAACATTCGTGTATTAGAATGATTGGGAAAGTTCACATAACATTTAAACAGCCTTCTGTCTGTACCGCTTTCATTTAGGTGCTTGTTTTCATCACTTTCGCTTTAATTCTCGGGCACTGACTCGTTCGCTAAACTGAACATCCAATCAGAAGCTCTCACTCGCGCCGACGGCTCCGACGCCGATTCAACATGTTGAATCGGGCAAACTGCCGCCGACGTGAGCCCGACGAGTGGAACACACCAAACAAACTAGCCCGACCGTTGCTCGCCGTTGGCTAACGGCCGACCGTTGGCTTGGCGTGTCCCGGACTTTAGTTGATAAACCAGTCCTAATGAAGTTCTTCGGCAGTGAGCCACCTCTTAGCCAAAAATGTTTTTATGTATTTACAGTTTTTGCATTTTTGCTATTCTAGCATCATTTGTGGTCACAGTGAAGAGCGTCCACACTGCTAACATGTTTGCCTGTTGAAATGGATGCTGAAACAGACAAAACGTGCCATTGAAGAAGCACAAATTAAACGTCAATGTTTTAGCCCTCCAAAACTATTTCTGCTGAAACTGGTATTTGCTTTAGGAACCCTAGATTGATGTTATAACTGTTCCTCAGCGTTACACTATGGTGAAGCTTTGTGAGCTGGTCCCATTGAATGAGAATGGTAATTAAAATTCAGCCGAGTCGAGTTCTCAGGCCCTGTACAGGAAGTCTCAGCATTACAATAGCCAAACTTAAACTTCATTCATGGTGTCTCGGTTGCTTGGTTTGGCACATGAATGAATGCCACATTTGAACTATTTACAGACAGGATGAGGGTGTTTATGCCTTGCAAACTCAGCAGTTCATTCACTTCATGCAAAGTTTTCTTCCTATAGAATGTAGGCAGGTTATGACCGAATGTGGTGTTTCCAGGCAATAGTTATCCATGGAGTCCTACTACTTCTTTTGACCTTCTTTGACCCAGAAAATCGATTTCTTTTTCTAAACCTGGTGTGGGAAATCCTTTCCTTCACACGCATATGTGGGGTCAGCAGGTTTATTGTGCCACCCTTTTAACAAGGTTTAGAAAAGGCTCCCCGGTTTACAGCGTTGTTAAATTTTAAGCATTTTGATTGTATTGTATTTTTTGTATTCAGGTTGGTAGTCAGTACTTTAAAAAATGCATCAGTCTTGTTGAAGTCAGCATGAAATGGAAATTCACCCTGTTTTCTGAATGCATGTTATAGATCTTGTTGTGTATGAGTCATCCATGCATAGGTTTCATTTTTATTTATTTATTTATTTTTAATCAAAATGGTGACGTCAAGTCACCTTTATATTTATGTTGCGCTTTATAGGGAATAGGGATTATGAAAGCAGCCTGCAGTATTAAACAGGGAAGTAACAGAATCAGTGATAGAAACTTCATCAAATATAAGACAAATCAAATTCTGCTGTAAAGCAGCTTTGGGAAGACAATAGTGTCATTTTTTTTTTTTCCAGTTCCGGTCAGTTCAGTGTTCAGTGACTGTGTAATAGTGCTGGGTTTTGACACAAATTTCACGATTCAATTCGATTCTCAGCTTATTGCAATATATTGGATGGGAAGTGCCTTTCAACGTTCCGTCCATTAACTGAAAACGGGCTAGACTAATCGATTCTTGGGATTTAAGAATCAATATCGTTCCGTAAAAATGAGAATCGATTAAAATCGAGATATCAATATTTTTTACCCAGCCCTACTGTGTAAAGTTCGTCAATCATCAAGTTCATCTTCAGCTCAACTTAACTTAAGACATGCAGGACTTCTCCAATCATTTGCAAGCTCACGTTCATCTACCTCCATTTTTGAGTGCAACGTTCACTTCTCAAAATCCTGTCAACACCCGCTGAATTGAACCAAGTCCTCCTCCTACATTTTTTCTTGTTCAGTAATCCTTTATACTTAGATGTACATCACAATATGGAAGAAAAGCTCTGTTGCTTCTTCATTGCAGCGTATATGCTTGGATATGGAGTTTGAGAGTTTGTTTATGCTTTACCGCTTCTTAAATATATCTTGTAAATGGCTTTAGGAAAGTTACTAAATCTCCACCCAACAGTGACATTGGGATCAGTTTATAGCAATTTCTGTTGTAAACGGATCTTGTGTGTAATGTGTGTGCAGCTGTCTTTTATGTGAGCCAGACGTAGAGCTTGTTTCTCTTAGGCAAGTGTTGAAAGCTACACCTGGAGTGATCTTTCCTCCCCAAAGCACACCTGGTGACTGCAGCGTGAGATTTCAGAAAAGCGTTGAAATATTCCTTAATAGTTTTTGGATTACCTTAGACTTCCATGGTTGCAACTCAACTTAAAATGCTAGTTGGCAGCAATAGTGAACACAACATCCATGGGTCAAGTAACGAATAAATAAAACTGTTAAAAAATTTTGACGACAATAAAATACTTCCTTCCATTGCTTAATATGCAGAGAGAACAATAAGCCATTCATAGGTTGGAATGGCTCCCAGCTGGCAGATCGCTGCGCTCATGAATATCAGTATCGCGCTCAAATTTATCTCGACAGATCAGAGTCACAAGGCAGCGTCTGCATGTTTATCCATACAAACTTCAGAATGTTCCCAGGCATTTTTCTTCCTCCTTTTGTCAAGGAATAGATTTGGAAAGCTGAGATTTAAGTTGCCCAGATTGAAAAACACAAAGAAAAAACAAAAGCACAACTGTAATTGCAGACAGATGAGAATATAATTTGAGAGAACCATTACATATTGTATGTAATCTCTCCAGCTTCAGTTTAATTGAACATGAATGATAAACTCTTTCTATAGTATTGTCTACGTGTTATTCTGTTGCATAAAGGTCAAGCTTTAAATTTGTTCGTTTTGGCTGTGTATCCATTTTTTGGCCTATTGCAGAACATATCTCCAAATATTAGACTGGCTGTTTTAATGTAAACCAAGATTTTGATTTGGTTAGGATGCATAAAGTCTCATTGCTGTTTATTAAAACACATAAGTGAAACGGGACTAAATAAATACATTTAATTAATTAATTAACTAATAAAAATAAAGTGGGAGACTTGATTTCATTCATTAAGAGCTTATTAGATTGTGAAAAGTGAGTGATCAATACCAGAAATTGTAGTGGAGGATACATCTGGCTCCTATTGGTTGAAACCTAAGCGGCCTCGATGACATCAGCCAAAAAGGAAAGTCGTTTTAGAGGAGGAGCAAGTGATTGCAATTCGATGACATTTTTAATTCATTCATGAATAACACACTGAATCTCGCACAATAAGTCCAGGAATGTGTATTAAGAGAGTAAACGGTATTAAACGGTAAACGGTAGTTTTGATTTCTTGTTGACTTTTACATTGTGCGAATTAAAACCTATTAATAAGCGGTAAATTAGGAGTTTATTGAGGCAAAAGTCGTAGTTAATAGTGAGAATTGGACCCCAGACTAATGTGTGACCTGAAATTAGAGACTTTAGTTTCATTTTGCAGTAATTTCATGTTTCAAAATAGAACCTAGTTAAATGCAGTGCATTATTTATCCATTGCAAGTGTTTTCTTCCTTGCATGTCACTTGTAAGCTGGCAAAGACTGTGTTTAGCACTGTAACCATTTATAGCAAAACAGATTTTCTGCTGTTTGCCTGAGCAGCCACTAAAGCGCCGCTCCACTGATAGTCATGTCAGCCAATTGGCCGTCATCTGTGTGGAAAATTGAAGCAAGGCGAAATCCGATTTGTTTCAGACCTGTACTGTTGGACTGAATCAGAAGTGATCAAATAGGATACATGGGTTTAATCAATTGATGTACTTTCTGCCATAAGGTTTTTTTTTGTCATTTAGCAGAAATTTTCATCCAATCCTAATTTACAGAACACTTACTACAAGTACAGTCCAGTTTTCGTTAGGCCACAATAGTGATGTAGTCCATAAAACCTTTAGGTTACCAGTACAGACCTGTAACTACCCCAGTTGGCTGCTATGGTTATTTTCCATGTCTTCTTTCTGATGATTAAGAGCTTAGCTAGACTTTTGTATTTTCAGCTGCCTGGTCTTTATTTGCCTGGTCACTTTGGTAATAAAGCTTTTGCAATGAATGCTCATGTAGAATTTATGTAATGTTATACAATGAGCAAAATTGTTTTCTTCTGAGTTACTTTATCCATTGAGTCCAGAGGATGAGGAATATGAATTTGAGGATGAACTTGCAAGAAAATAACACGTTCAGTTTTACAGTTGAAGTTCAAGTTTTTACTTACAAGTTTCAAATTTTATTTGTCTGGGGTCACATGATTTTTCATATCAATCTTTTATCCATTGAGTCCAGAGGATGAGGAATATGAATTTGAGGATGAACTTGCAAGAAAATAACACGTTCAGTTTTACAGTTGAAATTTTATTTGTCTGGGGTCACATGATTTTTCATATCAATCTTTTTTGTTTTCTCCACAGGATTTTGAGTAACAATAAAATCCAGGAACTTCTGAATGGCTCTTTCATTGGTTTGTCATCACTGGAACGACTGTAAGTTTAATTTGTGCTACTTTTCTCTTAGTTTATTTGTTATATTCTCCATTTTAGAACATTTAATCGTATACACCGTTAATAGATTGTGATTAGGAACATTTCTGAGTGGTTACATCAATTTTGTCTCCTTAAGGACCTCTTTGTCCCTTGTGAAAAAGATGTACACTTTATCATACTTTTAAAAAGAGGACTTATTTTGGACGTAATATACTTTTATGCCTGCCTTTCATGCTGTTTTATATTATACTTTTTCAACTTTAGTGTGTAATGTTGCAGTTTGAGCATAAAAAGGTCTGCAAGGTAACAAAGCTCAATGTCCACTCTAAAAGGAGATATTCGCTTTAACAGAAAAGGCTTTTCAAGAACTACAGCAAACGGCTCATTCGGACTACTGCGCATTTTTTCCAGATATCGTGAAATCACAATTTCACACACAGAATGCACAAAAAAGGGGACGAGGTCTGGTTAAAAAAAACCAGAAAACATTCCACTCTAAGACGTGCTGTAAAATCCATGCTTGCAAAGCCTCTGCACGATCCTCTTGTTCATAAACGTTCTCAGGGGCTGAATCGGGCTCGAATTGGTATGGCAAAATTGACGCCATCATTAATATTTACAGCTGAGCAGATGAAACTCTCATTTCTGGAACACGCTAAGCTAGCTTACCAATCAGAGCATGTTTCGTATTTCAGAAGGAGGGGCTTCATCGAAACAGGAGCTAAACGGGGTGTTTAAGACAGACTGGGAAGAGATGTGCTGCAGATTATTGCATTTTTACATTAGTAAACTATGTGAAAAATAAAGCATTTTTAGAACAATCAAGCATGAAAACCTATTCTAGTTCACCCAAAAACCAAATCAAGACTTCATAAATGGGCATAATAGGACCCCTTCAAAGAATATGCTTAAGTCTGAAATGAATGTAATGATTTCAAACACTTAAGTGCACATTAATTGTGATTAAATTAAAATGTTTTGTAGTTTAAATTTATATGAAATGCAATTAGTGTTTTTGACACTCTTGAGTAGGACTTAAGTACATCTTTATATGTAATTTTTATAATCATGTTAATTACATTTGTTAAACTAAAATACACTTGAATGTCATTTCTATTAACATATATTTGTAATTACACATTTGTGATTAGGTTGCAATTTACTACATTTTATATATATTAACCTTATTGAAAATTATAATCAAGTACTTTACATGTGCTTTAGGACGTTCAGTCAGCACATCAAAATAAGTGTACTTCTTTAACCCTTAAATGCATACCTCGGGTCTTTAGCGACCCGGGACATCATTCTGTACCCTCTCCCCCCTTCATTTTTTAAAGTTAGACATCAACTTTCTTAGTATTCCTTAATCTATTAATTATAAACAATATGACAAGAAAGAAATAGTGAAATATAAAAGAATGCCAGTTTTCTGATTAATTTTTTTGTAAAAAGTGTATAGGGTTGCTAGAGACCCGAGGTATGTAAATGTGTAGGCTAAGTATTTTTTCCTGCGCAACTACATTTGACATCTGATGACTCAATATGTGCAATGCATTTTTTTTTCCTCAAGGTGGCACTGTTTGATACACAATGATGACGTGATGTTGAATGATGAAGTGGTTTGAATGGCTTTACTGCAGAGCAATTACTACAGAATTTCATAGAAATACAGCTGCAACATACTTTGCATGTGTGCATAAGAATATATGCTTCTAGGTGTTATATCGAAGCCATTGAGCCATTATTTGGAACCTCAATGAAATAGATTTAAAAATATGTGAGCGGAAACGCAGAAAGAACTGCTTTGAAAGAACTAGAAGAAATAACTGCTACCATACTTTACAAGTAAGAGGAAACATGTAATATGGATGCAGACAAACTCATGAAGACAATCATTCAAAAATGCTGTGCTACCATCCTTTATAACTAAGAGTAACAAAGATAAAATCATTTAATAGAAAAAATGTTGTATGTTAAATGTTAAGTTTATAATATGCATAGTTGATTGCTAAATTTAGGGGCTATGTGCGCTTTAGGCCTACAGACTGATTTACAACACGTGAATTCATTTATTTATCCTGAAAGAAATGAAAGTGACATGAGTGCCTGGTGAAGAGGGAGAAAAATATAGTATATATAAAAATAGTATATTTTATAGTTATATATACAATACTCATTTTGTGAAAGAAACACTTCTTCAAATTATATTTTAAATTATCACTAGGCCTATTGTCGCTTGCCCACTTCAGTCATTAGGCCTAATGTGCATTTTTTTTTCAAATGAAATTATAGCTAAATGGTTTGCATTGATTAATTTTAAATCTAGATTAAATCAAGGTTTATCTAATAATTCTGTTGCACCAAACTTCAAACCTTTAAAAATAAGCAGGTTTACATTTTTAACCCATCATTTTGATCGGATTTAAGTTATATTTAAGATTAACTTTATTTCCTGTTGCACCATAACTTTAAACTCAGATTTAAATCTCAATTATGGATTAACTTTAAACTTAACCCTTAAATGCATACATCGGGTCTTTAGCGACCCGGGACATCATTCTCTACCCTCTCCCCCCTTCATTTTTTAAAGTTAGACATCAACTTTCTTAGTATTCCTTAATTTATTCATTATAAACAATATAACAAGAAAAAATAGTAAAATATAAAAGAATGCCTGTTTTCTGATTCATTTTTTGTAAAAAGTTTATAGGATAAGTTTACAGACCCGAGGTATGTAAATGTGTAAGTTTTTTTTCCTGCGCGACTATATTTACATATCTGATGACTCAATTTGTGCAATGCATCTTTTTTCCTCAAGGTGGCACTGTTTGATACACAATAATGACGTGACGTTTCACTCATAATTACCGCAGGCATAAAACAAACGAATATCATCAGCAAAAATTGAACTGATTTGAATGGCTTTACTGCAGAGCAATTACTATACGTAATGAAATACAAATGTCACTGTCATTTTATGCTGGATGTGGTGAATAAGCTGCCAGTGATGCAGGCATAAAACAAACAAATATCATCAGCAAAAATTGAACTGGTTTGAATGGCTTTACTGCAGAGCAATTACTAAACGCAATGAAATATAAATGTCACAGCTATTTGATGCTGGATGTGGTGAATAAACTGCCAGTGATCAAAATATTGAATATGAAGTCATTGAAAACAATAGTTTTGAGAATATGGTTGAGATCGTGAATATGAGCCAGATGCTGAATGTACTGTGGAAGTGCGCTCTGACGATGACAGCGATGGTAAAATCATCTGCTCAAATTGAACCCTTTTAAGTTTCAAAAGGAAACGAAATATGCTTAATTTTATTCTTCTGTAACTGTTCTTAAAATATCAAGATCATTTTTTGCTATTGCAGTAGTTAGAGGTCCATCCGTGCTGGATATATAGGTCCGGGTCGCTAAAGACCCGGCTATGTAATAATGATTGGCGAAACATTGCATGCGTTTAAGGGTTAAATCATAAAAATAGATTATTAAAGATTTATTACATTTGTACTTTAAACTAGAACTAAATATAATTAAGTGCACCGCTTTTCCACAAGGGTTTGAGAATCAAATGATGATATGAAAAAGTAACACCCAGAGTACTTTGATTATTTGTCTTGATGTTATGATGGATTATTTAAATATGTTATGATTACAACTCAAAGCAATTAATTCATAGTAAAGTGATGTCTCCGTTGATTATAATGGAAACAATCGTGTTTTGTTTTGTCACTATTGGCATTCTGAGTTGTTCTGAAATGTTTATTTGGTGTCAACATCCGGTCTTCCTGGTCAAAGACCAGCAGGTTTTTGGGGACGGTGCAAAGCCAATTGTTCCTCCTTCTGAAGTGGACAAGGTGCTAATGTTGTCAAGCAGAGAGTGAGGTGCCGGTGAATGATCACAAGGCTGTTGGAGACCTCGGGGGAGGTCATACTGAGGGGGCTGGTCAAGTGAAAGTTAATTATAGCGGTTGCCTCTTCAGGGAGCACAATTGTCTGGTCTTGGCATCGGTTTACCTCTCTGCTCTGTACTTCCGTTAGAGATTCAGAGTCACTCACTGTAGCAGCGCTGGTCAAATGCTAGAGCTAAATTTAGAGGCTGTACATTGAAATGCCGTATTTAGTGTTGCTGTTTAGGTGCACTTTCCCTTATACTGCTGCTTGATAATACATGACCCAGATTTTACAATGAACAGCAGCCGATGACCAATAGACGTGTTCACAGAACTGGTTTCTTTCAAAGAAGTGCAGAATAAAGGCATTGACACAATAAGCTCATTCTAGAAGTTTCGTTATTTAAAGAAAGCATTGATTTATTTGTGCTTGCTCCATTTAAGACTTATTAATGGATCTGAAGCAGGAAACATGGAAGTGCTTTACTTAAGTCATCCGTGAGGAATTCTTCTAAGGGTGTGTTTTCCATGTGCTTACTCCAGGTCTTGTTAAGGTATTTCAGGGTTATTTGTAAACTGATAAATTTCATCATTTTAGAGGGAATGTGGCTTATTATAGTCAGTTTGAAAAAAGTCTCTTATGTTCACCAAGGCTGCATCTGCTTTAATATGATCACAGTTTAAAATACATGTTTTCTATCGGAATATATTTTAATGTAAATTATTCCTTTGATGTCGAATAAAATGCACAAGTCAAGTGCATACTGAATGGGCAATTCATTGTTCATTGTAGGAATTTATATGAAATGCAATTAGTATGAAAAAAGCTGAATTTTTAGCATCATTACTCCAGTCTTCAGTGTCACATGATCCTTCAGAAATCATTCTAATATGCTGATTTGCTGCTCAAGAAATAAATTATTTATATATGCAGGGTTCTTTGAATACAAAGTTCAGAGCACCATTTATTTGAAATAAAGGTAACACTTTAATTTAAGGTGTCTTTGTTACACGTACTTACATGTAAGAACAATAAATTATGCATGATTACATGCAAGTAACACTAAGACAAACCCTAATCCTAACCCTAACCATACAGTAAGTATGTATGTAGTTAATTAATATTACTCAGTACTTAAATGTATAGCTACACTGTAACAAGGACACCTTAAAATAAAGTGTAACCAAAACTAAAAACTTTTCTAACGTTATAAATGTTTTTATAGTCACTTTCGATCAATTGAATGCATCCTTGCTGAAAAAAACTACTATTTCAACTTAATTATTAATACATTCATATTTATATACTTTTAAAATAGATTTTACAAATAAAAATGCATTAATTTTACTAATTACCGGTCTCTTCCCCGTGCATGCACGCTGGTGTCCTCGTGGGTCCAGGAGGGGTGCGTAGAGGGACTCCCGTGCCGCCAGAGTCGTGAGCTGCCGGACCCGCAGTCCGGACGAGAACCGCACCCGTTACACGGCCGTCGGGCAAGGATGCCGGGCCGTCTAGTCCCTTCAAGCGCCGTGGGCAGAGAGAAGGACGAAGCCGCTGATAGAAGCGCCCCGGACCGGAGAGGGGAGCGCGAGCGGCCGCCGGACTCCGCCCCTTACCTGGACCCTTCCTTCCTTCCTGACCACTGCCCTTCCCTTCACGAACCCCGCAGCACGACGACGACACCAGATCCCCTGTTTATTTTGGGCACTTGATTCCCATTTTTCTGGACACTGTTTATTTTCTGTTAATAAACGGTGTCTGTTGTTTGCTCCTCCCGCGACACCCATTAACGTAAACTACGCCAGAGCGCGTACACGCCTCACGCACCGGAAGTCGTGCGCGCGCACAAAGACAGTTGGACATAGTGGTGTATTAGAGGTAAAAAATTATATAAATACTGAGAGGGGATTTTTTTTTTATTTGAGGGGTGGAGGGAAGCATTTTTTAGACATTTTGCAAAAAAATAAAATATTTATCATCTAAATGTTCGATAATGCATTGCATTTTTGTTTTTACACTCGAGCAACCGTTGCACAATATCTTACACAGAGCACAACACCGTTGCTTAAGCAAGTAGCAAAACATTTAAAATACTTTTCTTACGTTATCACAAACATTCTAAATTAAATCTTACCACTGACAGAAACAGCCAGCTCTACTGCCTTTTTTGCATTTGAATTTTTATTACAAGCAATTCTGCGGTTCATAAATAACTATGCTTTCCTACCTCCACGGGTGCCATCTATTATTGCCTTGTTGATCTAAAAGTGCTCTTTTCCTTTAAACCTAGCCAAAAAGCCATATGTGTTGAAAC